GCCTCTCCCCCCCCCCCCCCACCACCCCCTGCCACCCAAACCCTGGGCTCTCCCCCGCACACCACCCGCACCCTCTGCCGCCCCAACCCTGGGCTCTCCCCCCACCCCACCCCGCACCCCCTGCCACCCCAACTCTGGCAGGGTTGTGGTAAGCAGCGGGGCTCCTGGGCCGCGCCTCAGCCCAGGGTCCCTCAAGCCAGGGCTCCCGCCTCCAGGACTGGCCGGGACCGGGGAGGACAGAGCCGGGGGACCGTCCCGGCAGGGGGCTGAGGAGCCGGGGCAGGGCAGCCCCAGAGGGAGCGGAGCCCTGGAGAGCAGGACGCGCCCTCTATGGCCCTGCTGCTGCTCCTGGCCGCCCTGCCGCAGTCCCTGGGCAGCTCTGGCCGCTTCGCCCAGCCCTGGCTGCGGCGCGGGAGGGCGGCCGCCCTGCGGCACCTGCAGGCGGCTCCGTGTGCCCCGAGGGGTGGCCCCCCAGCCCGAGTCTCCCGCACTCGGAGCCCGCCCGGCCATAAGGTGCGGGCGCTGCTCCCCGATGCAAACCGCAGCAGCCCCAGGGCGCCCCCGGTGCAGGACGTGCTGCTGCTGCCAGGGCCGGCTCTAGGCTTTTGCCGCCCAAGCGCCCCAAAAAAAAAAAAGAGGCTGGCTGGAATGCCGCCCCTGAAAATGTGCTGCCCCAAGCACCTGCTTGGTTTGCTGGTGCCTGGAGCCGGCCCTGGCCAAGGGTGATGCAGTGGATACAGTGTGCTTAGAATTTCAGAAAACGTCACCAAAGTCTCTTAAGCAAAGTAGGCAGTCATGGCATAAGAGGGAAGGTCCTCTCATGGATCGGTAACTGGTTAAAACATGGGAAACAAAGGATAGGAATAAATGGTCAGTTTTCACAGTAGAGAGAGGTAAATAGTGGGGTCCACCAGGGATCTGTACTGTGCCCACTGTTGTTCAACATATTCATAAATGAACTGGAAACATGGGGAAACATAAAGGTGGCAAACTTTGCAGATAATGCAAAATTACTAAAGATAGTTAAGTCCAAAGCAGACTATGAAGAGTTACAAAGGGGTCTCACAACATTAAGTGACTGGGCAACAAAATGGAAGATGAAATTTGGTGTTAATAAATGCAAAGTAATGCACATTAGAAAACACAATCCCAACTATAAATTCAAAATGATGGTGTGGTGTCTAAAAGCTGTTACCACACAAGAAAGAAATCTTGGAGTCATTGTGGATAGTTATCTGAACACATCCACTCAATGTACAGTGGCAATTAAAAAAGCTAGCAAAATGTTAGGAACCGTTAGGGAAGCAATAGGTAATAAGACAGAAAATATCATAATGCCACTATATAAATCCATGGTATGCCACATCTTAAATACTGTATGCAGTTCTGGTCACCTCATCTCAAAAAAGATACGTTAGAATTTAAGAAGGTGCAGAGAAGGACAACAAAAATTATTAGGGGTATGGAACAGCTTCCATATGAGGGTTAAAAGATTAAAAAGACTGGGAGTGTTCAGCTTGGAAAAGAGACGACTAAGGGGGGATATAATAGAGATCTATAAAACTATGAATGGTGTGGAGAAAGTGGATAAGGAAGTGTTATTTACCCCTTCACATAATACAAGAACTAGGGGTTATGTGATTAAATTAATAGGGAGCAGATTTATAACAAACAAAGGTAAGTACTTTTTCACACAATGCACAGTCATCCTGTGGAATTCATTGCCGGGGATGTTGTGAAGGCTGTAATTATAAGTGGGTTCAAAACAGAATTCGATAAATACAAGGAAGACCGCACCATCAATGGCTATTAGTAAAGATGGTCATAAATGCAACCCCATGCTTTGGGTGTCCCTAAGCCTCTGACTGCCACGTACTCTGAGTGGAAGACAGGAGATAGATTACTCGATCATTACCCCCTTCTGTTTTTTCTCTCTCAAGATTCTGACATTGGCTACTGTTGGAAGACAGGATACTGGGATAGCTGGAGCACTGTTTTAACTCAGTGTGGCCATTCTTATGTTCTTATCAGTTTGGCTTTTGCTGATCTGAAGTTCCAAGCTCTCCAGTTACTAACTTGTTTAATACTGCTTCCCCAAAGAGGCAGTGTGCCGTACACCAGCTGAAATAGATGCCAAATGACTGACGTTATTTAGGGGAAAATTAGAACCATAGTTTGAGCCCCGGTTGTGTGCAAGGAATGTTATAACAGCAAGGTGCTTTTGGTCAAAAGCTTGGGTTAGAAGGGCTATAGCTCAGGAATCTCTGGAGCAATTAATCCCATCTTTGGGCCACTAACCCTGTCTTGCACCCACATGGTGAGCAGTGTATTTCAGGACAATGTGAGTAAGCATGTAAATTCTTGAGAAATTAGAATAGTTGGCCTTTAAATAGAAAGTAATGCTGAACCCTAAATCTAGTGGAGCTGGTGGTCTGCTATGATAACTTTCCAACTGCATGGAGGATGTGACAATTAGGTGCACCCATCTGTGGACAGGAGAGAGTGTAAGGGTCTCATTCAGTAGTCCTTGAGCCAAGTGAGAGCAGAGAGTAGGAGGAGGGGAGAAGATGATGGGGAGCTGGCGTTTGTGGGGTGACACAAGGCAGGGAGGACTGAGAACAGAAGGGACGAAGGGGAGGGGTGTGTGGAGGACAAGGAATAGAGGGAATCAGGGATGGTTGGGTAAAGTGGAAGGAGGAGGATGAAGGGAGTCAGGGAGAAGAGCTCCTATGAGCTGGGAGAATGGGGGAAAGGGAGTGGAGGGCCCAGCAGTGGTCGTGTTGAGGGAGAGTTGGGTAGGTGATGTGAGTTATCTGGGGGAGGGGAACACTGGGGTTAGAGGGACAAGGGGAGTGACGGGGTTGGAGAGTGGTTGGTCTAGGAAGCAGCAGGGTCTGCTGGGGGTGGGAAGGGAAAGGCTGGAGACTGACTGGCTAAGCGGCAGTTCTGCAGAAAAGGACCTGGGGATTACAAGCGGACAAGAAACTGGATATGAGTCAACATATGCCCTTGTTGCCAAGAAGGCTAATGGCATATTGGTCTGCATTAGTAGGAGAATTGCCAGGAGATCGAGGGAAGTGGTGACTCACAGATGCATGGGCAATGATTATTCCCCTCTGTTCGGCATTGGTGAGGCCACATCTGGAGTATTGCATCTAGGTTTGGGCCCCCCACTACAGAAAGTATGTGGACAAATTGGAGAGAGTCCAGTGGAGGGCAACGGAAATTATTAGGGAGCTGGGGCACATGATTTATGAGGAAAGGCTGAGGGAACTGGACTTGTTTAGTCTGGAGAATTGAAGAGTGAGGGGGGATTTGATAGCAGCCTTCAACTACCTGAAGGGGGGTTCCAAAGGGGATGGAGCTCGGCTGTTCTCAGTGGTGGCAGATGACAGAAGGAGGAGCAATGGTCTCAAGTTTCAGTGGGGGAGGTCTAGTTTGGATATTAGGAAAAACTTTTTCACTAGGAGGGTGGTGAAGCACTGGAATGGGTTACCTAGGGAGGTAGTGGAATCTCCTTCCTTAGAGGTTTTTAAGGCCCAGCTTGACAAAGCCCTGGCTGGGATGACTTAGTTGGTGTTGGTCCTGCTTTGAGCAGGGGATTGGACTAGATGTTCTCCTGAGGTCTCTTCTAACCCTATTCTTCTATAATTCTAGCTCAAGGATCTGGAAGGGTTGGTGCTGGTTAGAGAAAAGGGAGCATGGGTTTTGTAGTGGATACTTCAGGAAATAGGCGTGCTAGCAATGGGACGAGCAAAGGGACACGGTTTTGGCAGGAGCTGTTGGGAATCAGGACAAAGAAACCATTGAGACAGTGGGATAATAGGGTGGAAATGGCTGGGGAGCAGAAAATTTGGGAAACTGGTAGTGAGGAGGGCTATGGGCAATAGGAGGGGAGGAGAGAACACAAGGAGTGATTGCTCCTGGGGTCCCAGCATAGGCGCCAAATTCCGCTCTACCCGGTGAGTGCTCGACCCCGCCTCTTCCCGTCCCTGCACTGCACTCACCCTGCCCCCACTCCACCCCTTTCCCAAAGTTCCCGCCTCCTTCCCGTCCCCATTCCACCCTCTCCCCCAAATCCCTGCCCTCTGCCCCACCTCTTCTCCGCCTCCTCCCCTGAGCGTGCCACATCTCCGTTCCTCCCGGAAAGTCCTAAGCGCCGCCAAACAGCTATTAGGTGGCGGAGGGGAGGGCGGGAAGCGCTGGGAGGGAGAGGAGGGAGCGGGGACGCGGTGTGCTCGGCGGGATGGGAGAAGGAAGTGAGGACGGGGGAGCTTGGCTGCCAGTGGGTGTGGAGCACCTGCTAATTTTCCCCCGGGGGTGCTTCAGCCCCGGAGCACCCATGAAGTCGGCGCCTATGGGTCCCAGGAGGTGGGGAAGGGTGAGAGCAGTTAGAGGAAGGGTTTGAAGATCACTGTGATTGACAGGGGTAATTGCATCTCTGTGCCCTTCCTTGTCTCTCTGAGTGTCCCCCCCCCACATAGCTGTCGGGCCTTGTGCCTTTCCCACTCCTGCAGTGTCTCTGGGCCTCTCTCTATCAGTAAGAAGCAGTTCCAGGAGGATTTCCTCTCCAGCTTGAGTCTTCCCTTTCTGGGACATGCAGTTAGCTGCTCTGGGTTTTAGGAGCCCCTTTGATTGTGAGTGTCTGGCTGTGTGTGTTCCCAGTAAACATGGGCAGAGTTAAATCCCTCATAAGAAGAGTTTCCTGCACCTTCGAGCATCTGGGGAGCTGGCCCCAGGATTTTACTGCTTTAAAACGAGAAGCGTTTAAAATAACAGAACTTCTTTTGTGTGTCACGAATGTCCCATGAATTCACCTGATCTCACTTGTCTTCTTTTCCCTGGGCAGGGTTTCCAGTTTCCAAACCTGATATCTCCCGGCTGGAAAGATGGGAAGAACTGTTCTCCCCAGATCTCCAGGGCTTAGAGAAAAGAGAGCTCCCGAGAGGCATCTACACAGGTGAGTAATCATTAAATGAACTCAGTGCCAGAAGGAAACAGCTGGGATTCCCAACAAAGACCTTGCGAGCTCTCTTTGTTCAGGCTTGTCTGCAGCAAGTGTCATATCCTCAGGGCAGATATTGCTCATGGCTTCCTACCCATCCTGACTATCTCCTGTCACTAGCTTCCTCCCTGAACTTCCTTCTCCCTGAGTGTTTAAATGGGACTGGATGTAGAATTGATCCCCTCCTCTCTTCTCTTTGGGGATGAGTTTGGGGAAATTCAGTCCCTCATTTTTCCCCCCCATCTCCAGCTGTTCTTTTCATTTGTTCTCCCCTTTTCCATTCCTGTTTCAGATTTTTTTTCTCTGTCCCAGCAGGTGATGGGATGGTGAGTGAGACCTCGGAGCAGAAGCCTCAGCAGGAAGATGATGAGCAAATCAAACCATATGGGACGTTATTGCAAAAATGCAAAGGGAGTGTGACCAGGAGTTGTGAGCAGGGAAAAGCCTGTGAGAGTCAGCACAGGCCAGAGAAGTGGCAGGGAAACCAGCCAACACAGAAAGTTGGTAAATCTGTTAATTGTCGGGGAACTCACAAAGGCCTCAAGGAAACCACGACCCAGCAGAGAATCCCTATGGGAGAGAGAAATAACACATGTGTTGAGTGTGGAAAAAAGTTCAGTAGGCCTGCACTGCTTCTTAGCCATCAGAGAATCCACACAGGGGAGAAACCCTATGGATGCTGTGAGTGTGGGAAAACCTTCACTGAGCGCTCAACCCTTATTAAACATCAGAGGATCCACACAGGGGAGAAACCCTACGAATGCTGTGAGTGTGGGCAAACCTTCACTGAGCGCTCAACACTTATTCAACATCAGAGGATCCACACAGGGGAGAAACCCTATGAATGCTGTAAGTGTGGGAAGACCTTTGCTCGGAGCTCACACCTTATTAGGCATCACAGAATCCACACACAGGAGAAACCCTACGAATGCTGTGAGTGCGGGAAAACATTCACTGAGTGCTCATCCCTTATTCAGCATCAGAGGATCCACACAGGGGAGAAACCCTATAAATGCTGTGAGTGTGGGAAAACCTTTGCGCAGAGCTCACATCTTAATAGGCATCAGAGAATCCACACAGGGGAGAAACCCTACGAATGCTGTGAGTGCGGGAAAACCTTCACTCGGAGCTCACACCTTATCAGACACCACAGAATCCACACAGGGGAGAAACCCTATGAATGCTGTGAGTGCGGGAAAACCTTCACTCAAGACTCATCCCTGATTAAACATCAGAGAATCCACACAGGGGAGAAACCCTATGAATGCTGGGAGTGCAGGAAAACATTCGTTCGGTGCTCACACCTTAATAAACATCAGAGGATCCACGCCAGGGAGGAACTCTATTAATGTTTCGAATGTGGGGAATTCTTCCATCAGAGCTCAGCCCTTATTACTCCCGAGGGCATTCTGTGCCAAAAATTAAAAATTATACGCACAATATTTTAAAATTCTGCAGAAATAAATAAATAAATAAATGCAGAGGCTACAGCCTGGCAGTGGGGAGCACAGGCCACTGGCTTTATGCAGGTGGGAGATCACCTTGCAGCCTCCCCACCCTCCACCCCTGGAACACGGAATCAGTGGTGAGGCTGCACCCAACCCTGACACAGCACAAGGCCTGCCCCAGAAACACTCTGGGGCCCTGCCCATCTGTGCCAGGAGCATCCGGTGTGGGGCAGGCAGGCTCAACCAGGCAGGAACCAAGTGTGAAGGGGCTCAGTGTGGAGGAATCCAGGTGTGGGGTGAGAGGATTGTGCGTGGGACAATCTGGGTGCAGGCAGCTCAGTGTAGGGTGTAGATGTGGAGGGGATCTGGATGCACAGTGACTTGTTGGGATTCCATGTGCAGGGGTAATGGGACTCTGCAAGTGCTTCCAGATGAAAGTGGTTGGGGCTCAGCGGAGGGGTCTGGGTGTGAGGGTCTCAGCAGGGGGGTCTGGATGCTGGGGGAGTGGGGCTTGGTGGGGGTCTGGGTGCAGTTAGTTGGGGGTCAGTGGCATGGGGGTGTGGATGTGGGGACTCAGGGTGTTGCAGGAGGGTGGGGGTTTGAGTGCAGGGAGCTCAGTGGGGGGTGATCTGGGTGCAGGGGTTGGGGTCTGGAGACTGGGGGGCTCCCGATGCAGGGGTTGAGCTTCAGTGGGATGGGGTTTGGTTATGGAGGGCTAGGGGGGTTCTGGGTGTACAGGGGTGAGGCTTGGCAGGGGTGTCTGGGTATGGGAGGTCCAGATGCATGTAAGTTGGATGTACAGTGACCCCTCCCCCCCACAGCTGAGGAGTGATGGGGGAGGATGCTGAGTTTCCTGCAGTTTCTGGGGGTGGGTCTGACACAGTCCCAGCCACTTCTTGCAGGGGAAGAGGAAGTCCCATCCTCTCCTGCCTCCAGCCCAGTCGGGACTAGCAGCTGATCCCAGCTCAGGGTAGGAGGCATTGGTTGGGGTATCCCCAGCCCTGTGGGGATTTACCTCTCCAACAGCTGCTCCGGGTGCATGAAATGATGTACCTGTGCAGCTAGGGGGTGGTGCGTAACTGCTCTTGCAGCTTCCTTGTCAGAAAGTCATTTTTCTGCAGGGAAGGAAAGAAATCTGCAGGGGACATGAATTCTGCATACGCTCAGTGGCACAGACTTCCTCCAGGAGCAGCCCTCATTTATCACTAAGGAAGCTGCAAGAGGAGATAAACACCAAAACTTTGTGTAGGGCTGAGAAAAGATTTTGTTTCCCTTTTGCTGATGCCCACATAGTGAGCTTTAAGGCAGCATTTGTGTCACCATTTTCTTTCACTTCCGCCAGCTGAGTTGTGTGCTTTTCCCTTGTGCATCTCAGCCTCACTTGGAGTGAATAAATAAAAAATAAATCAACTTCTTTGTCCTATGTCATGGAAGTGTGCGTCCCTCCAACAGAAATGTCAATCAACTCCGGGTGGGGGAACCAGGAGTGAATGCAGCTAGGTACACGGATGTTAAATCTATCTGGGTCTTGATTCCACTAGGATTTTCCATGGGGTTAGCTAACTTGTATTAGCTATCCTGATGTAAAACTATAACTATTTTTAAAATTAAAGAAAATACCCCATATTTAGTGGGCAGGTTAATTTAGCAGATTTCCTCAAGACTTGACATGACCTCAATCACTGTTCTATAGTCCAAATGAATTTGGAGCATCACATTTAAGCTTTTCTTCACACTGCAAAGCAGCTGTTAGTCACCAGGTTCCCCCTAGGGACAGACGGGGAAGACACCCACAAAACACATCTCTTCCCGCCTATTGCATTCTCCACACCTGAGAAGACAAAATGACACAATTGTTTAACTTTGATGGAGGGGTCCTGCCCTAAGGAGTTTGGTCAGTAAGACGGCTGAAACGTGTTTAGAAAAATTTTCTTTGCAACTAAAATAATTTCTTAAGTATGTGTTAGTAAGCATTTTATCTTTATTTTTCTTGTAGCCAATTATGATTGTTATGCCTCAGTGACTGTATGCATATAGGAATACAGGTTTAAGTTTGTACGCATATAAAATCTCTCTTTGTAGTTGATAAACTATATATAACTCTATATAAGTTGGTGTGTTTAAACTGATGTTTCTGAATAACTATTTGAAATAATCTTACATATTATTCTCTTAAAGGTTTATTGGACTTCAAATATTGTGTACTGTCCAGGAGATACATTTCTGGGGAAATCTGGGACTGGGGATGTACTGGGGGGTCACCGTGCTGGTGTAAGCAGGGCTGGGAAGAGACAGAGTGTAACCCAAGTGTGGCTGGCAGGCTGAAGTTACACACACACACACACACACACTCAGGGTGTGGCTTGCATGCTGGAAGGCTGTTCGTGAGCGGCCCAGGTGGGAACTACTTCAGCAAGGCATTGTAAGGCACCCAGGATTTCAGGGCAGGGGTAATACAGCTACTCATGAGGCTGGATTGTACCCTGGTATGTCACAGCTCTACAGGACGTTACTCCTGACGTCATCTAGCTAAGCCCGTGGTTTGGGAAATGCTGTCCCTAACTATGGCGATGTGGAAATAAAAGTGTGTTTTCGTTGACTTCACCCCTCAGCAGGAACTGCAACTGTGTGTGAAATATAATCAGCGTTGAAGCTGAGAGAGCTGCAGGAAAATAAATAACTATTTTTGCTTAGAAACCCCATCTCAGGTAGCTAACAGAGATTGACCTAAACTTATGTCTAGTTCCTAACTGACACCTGTGCCACCAGTTTAAAGGAATAAACTGGCCATGTTTGCAGAAGCTATTCCTGACTAGCACTGCTGAGATTTTGGGTGGTTTGCTAAACGATTCTACTCCAGGGAAGTGTACTTTTAGCACAGTGAAGGATTTGGCAAGAACTCAGATAGAAATAGCAGGCACCCAACTGTTGGTCCCCAAATACCCAGTTCTGTACCCCACATACGGTACATCCCAAAGACCCAGCTCCAAACATGCACTCCAAACCCAAGCAGACTCATGATCCCTAACTCCAGCCATTCCTCCAACCCCAGCTCTGAACCGTCAGATACACCCGCCCCAAGCTGCGATGGTCCCCTCACACTCAGGGCGTAGCCTGGGCTGCGAGATCTGCACCAGTTCTAGGCCCTGATCTCCTCTTTCAGCTCCCTGGGCCCAGCTACTCCCTGGCTCAGTTTCATCGACCCTGCAGCAGAGGCTGCTCCTCTCTGCACTGTCTGGGATACTTGTCCACCCTGTCCTACTGCAGCCGTGGGCAGCCCCCTCTCAGGTCTGTGGGGGAGCTCAGGGACCTATGTTTGAGCTATTGAAGTCCTCAACTTGTGGTTTAAAGACTTCAAGGTGCAGAGAATCCTCCAGCAAGTGACCCGTGCCCCATGCTGCAGAGGAAGGCGAAAAAACCCCAGGGCCTCTGACAATCTGCCCTGGAGGAAAATTCCTTCCTGACCCCAAATATGGCGATCAGCTAAACCCTGAGCATGTGAGCAAGACTCACCAGCCAGCACCCAGGAAAGAATTCTCTGTAGTAACTCAGATCCCACCCCATCTAACATCCCCTCACAGACCATTGGGCATATTTACCGCTAATAGTCAAAGATCAGTTAATTGCCAGAATTAGGCTATCCCATCATACCATCCCCTCCATAAACTTATCAACTTAGTCTTGAAGCCAGATATGTCTTTTGCCTCCACTGCTCCCCTTGGAAGGCTGTTCCAGAACTTCACTCCTCTGATGGTTAGAAACCTTCGTCTGATTTCAAGTCTAAACTTCCTGATGGTCAGTTTATATCCATTTGTTTTTGTGTCCACATTGGTACTAAGCTTAAATAATTCCTCTCCCTCCCTGGTATTTATCCCTCTGGTATATTTATAGAGAGCAATCATATCTCCCCTCAGCCTTCTTTTGGTTAGGCTAAACAAGCCAAGCTCTTTGTGTCTCCTTTCATAAGACAGGTTTCAAAGTAGCAGCCGTGTTAGTCTGTATCCGCAAAAAGAACAGGAGTACTTGTGGCACCTTAGGCTTGGTCTACACTAAACCCCCAAATCGAACTAAGGTACGCAACTTCAGCTACGTGAATAACGTAGCTGAAGTCGACGTACCTTAGTTCGAATTTACCGCCGTCCAGACCCGGCAGGCAGGCTCCCCCGTCGACTCCGCGTACTCCTTGCGGCGAGCAGGATTACCGGAGTCGACGGGGAGCACTTCTGAGTTCGATTTATCGCGTCCAGACTAGACGCGATAAATCGAACCCAGAAGTTCGATTGCCTGCCGCTGAACCAGCGCGGTAAGTATAGACAAGCCCTTAGAGACTAACATTTATTTCAGCATAAGCTTTTGTGGGCTACAGCCCACTTCTTCAGATGCATAGAGTGAAACACACAGACAGAAGATATTTATACATACAGAGAACATGAAAAGGTGGAAGTGCGCATACCAATTGTAAGAGGCCAATCAATTGAGATGAGCTATCAGTAGCAGCAGAAGAAAAAACTTTATCACTGTAGCCCACGAAAGCTTATGCTGAAATAAATTTGTTAGTCTCTAAGATGCCACAAGTCCTCCTGTTCTTTTTTCATAAGACAGGTTTTCCATTCCTCGGATCATCCTAGTAGCCCTTCTCTGTGCCTGGTCCAGTTTGAATTCATCCTTCTTAAACATGGGAGACCAGAACAGCACACAATATTCCAGATGAGATCTCACCAGTGCCTTGTATAAAGGGAATAAAACCTCCTTATCACTACTGGAAATACCTCGCCTGATGCATCCCAAAACCGTATTAGCTTTTTTCACAGCCATATCACATTGGCGGCTCATAGTCATCCTGTGATCAACCAACACTCTGAGGTCCTTCTCCTCCTCTGTTATTTCCAAGTGATGCATCCCCAATTTATAACAAAAATTCTTGTTATTAATCCCTAAATGCATGACCTTGCACTTTTCACTATTACATTTCATCCTATTACTATTACTCCAGTTTACAAGGTCATCCAGATCTTCCTGTAGGATATCCCGGTCCCTCTCTATATTGGCAATACCTCCCAGCTTTGTGTCATCCACAAACTTTATTAGCACATTCCCACTTTTTGTGCCAAGGTCAGTAATAAAAAGATTAAATAAGATTGGTCCCAAAACCGATCCCTGAGGAACTCCACTAGTAACCTCCTTCCAGCCTGACAGTTCACCTTTCAGTATGACCCATTATAGCCTCCCCTTTAACCAGTTCTTTATCCACCTTTCAGTTTTCATATTGATCTCCATCTTTTCCAATTTAGCTAATAATTCCCCATGTGGAACCGTATCAAATGCCTTACTGAAATCGAGGTAAATTAGATCCACTGTGTTTCCTTTGTTTAAAAAATCTGTTAACTTTTCAAAGAAGGAGATCAGGTTGGTTTGGCATGATCTACCTTTTGTAAAACCATGTTGTATTTTGTCCCAATTACCATTGACCTCAATG